AAAAAATCTATTCTGTCAAGATCTACAAATAGATTAGTACAGAATTGTGAGAATTAATTTAAATACATTAGTATAGTTACGAGAATTGATTTCTCCAGCCTGTCCTTACTCAGTGCTAATTTCTAGCAGCTATTTTTTCATTTAGACTTGTCATAGATTCATTTCACCACTTCATTTTTATTTTTGTAAAGAATTTCTTAAATTGGTAAATTCAATTACTATGTGTTTTCTAACTTAATGCTTTTATTTTTATATTTTCATTTTTCCTGTTTTCTATTTATTTTTATGTAAAATTTCTAATTTTAGTTGAATGTTGCATTTCCATTTTTCCTAATTTAATAATGAAAGGCTTAAGAGTGAAAAACTGCCTCTTTTTAAAATAAAATTTGTCCAGTCTTAGTAAATTTTATATGGACTATTCTCATCACTGTTATTACCTAAATAGCTCGTGGGAGAGTAATTTTTAAGTTATTTGTTGTTGATCCATTAGTTGGTTCTTTGGTTTTTTTTTTTTTTTTTCCTTTTTAAGTTTTCAATCAGTTAGAGCTTTGTTTAACCTCTGTTACTGCTTTCAGGTTATTATTATTATGATTTTTGCTCTGGTAAGGTAATATGCTCTATAAATTTGTTCACTTTCGGAATCTGTCGACTGTGTGTGCGTGTGTTTATGAGAGAGGAGAGAGAAAGACTCCCTAGGGCAGATGAGTAGTGGTATTTTGTAAAGATTTTCAATAAAAAAGTGAAACTCCTTTTTTATATTGATGATGTACAGATCCATGATGTAAAACCGAAGAAGTCCTTCTGGTTGAAGAAGGTACAGGGGAAGAAGGGGCCTAGAGCCCCATTAAACCTCCTCTCACTTTCCCTAAAGAGCACCATGGAATCCTTAGAGTTATCTGGCTAAGATTTTTAAAACTGCTGCTCATTTACAAAATGTATGCATTTATTAGATAAACTTAAATTTTTATTATTAAAATTGTTTTCCCCAAGTTATTCTGTTAAATACTGAGAACGATGTGTTCAAGCCTCCACAACACATGCATTTTTCTGCCCTCTCCCTGAACTACTTGAAGCGTTTGCTTGGTATGTTTCAATTCTCTGGAATTTGATGATTAACATTTTGTATTTAGTATCTTCACTACCTGCAGCATCTTTTAGTAACATAAAAATTACTGACTTTGTGTCACTTTAAAGCTTCTCCTTTTGAATTCTCTTTTCTCTGAACTAATACTGTTACCACTAGCATTTGGGTTTGTCTAATATACCTCTGATTGTTCTTTTACATAAAAAACTAGTAACATTTTATTTTTGTTTGTATAGACACACTATACACACATATGTGGGCACAGTATATGTATGCATATAAAGGTAGACGTGTATTTGCATATATCGTGAATGTATGTTTACATAAGCTATATTTTTCTAGTATATCAACTGCATTTCTTAATCCCGTAAGGATCTATATTTTAAACTTTTTTCTGGGTTTTAATCTTTAACGTAACCTTTTCAGTTTTTTTGGTATTTGTAAACATTTATCTTCCTAGGTTTAGCCTTTTTTATTTTATGATACATCTTATCTAAGACACTATTTTTGAACCCTTAGTCTTAAAGGCATGTTATTTTACTTTCCTTCATAATTAAAACAATCATGATAGGTAGAAAAGGGGAAGAGAAGAAAGAACACACTTCACAAACAGGAGACAAAGAACTTGTACATCCATCCACCTCTCTGGCCTCTTCAATGAGTTCTCCAGTCTACTTAGCTCCCAGAACTATAACACCAGGACTGGAGTCCCTCAGGGATCACACCCTCAACACACCTGGGGGCATAACTGACTTCTGCAATCATTCAGCCTTTATTAGAAACTGTGTTTAAAAACCTATGACCAGTCACTTCAGGTTAAATTCATATGATCACCTGGGATCTTATTCAACTTTAAATCAATTAAACAATTTTTAAGCTGCCTTAAATTGTATGTATTCTGTTCTCCTTTCTCTCCAGATTCCAGGATTGGGCCTCTGACTTAAAAACACAAGATAAACAGTCACTGGGGATTCTCAGCACCCTAAGCTGTTTAAAGGCCGCTCTCTGGGGACCCCTCATCTTCGCTCTCCTGTTTACTTTTACCAGTCTGAGGATGAGTCAGAAGGTAGAGAGCTCACCCAACTTTTTCCGGGTTCCTTATCTACCACCCCTTCACAAGACCTCATGGTTTATCAGACCAGATATTTACATGATTAGTGACAAGCTTGGGCTCCTCAAGGTCCTTCACACTGGAGCAGCAGGGTCTTAAGGCAGGGCTCTCCTGTGAGTGACCACAGGTTCTCTATTAAGAAAACCCAAAGCTATCTGTAGCATTTAGTGACCCCTTCCTTGGCCTTTGGTTGACACAGTCACATTTAGTTGATTAGATCTCAAAAAGTTAATGTAAGAAACAGGATCAACAGTCGAACACACCTGGTCATTCCGGGGTGGCTTTGCTAAGGGGATTAGGGGTGGCTGGAAGGGAGTTGTGTTTATATGTATTATTATGTTTACCATTTCCCCGCTTCTCTTTCCCACTCCCTCAAATACACTAAAGCCAGTCTGAACATTATCTAATCTTTATCTGATAATTTAGAAGTATCTTCAGAGAGCATGGATCATAGATCTCTACTATATCTACACCCATGTGTTAAAAATTTGGTAAAGAAAATAAATGGGGTGAGTTATTAGTTAACATATCATGATGATGGACTAGCGAGTGGAAATGGATACAAAATTTCAGACATTTTTAATTTTCCAAATCATATAATACTTAATGGTAATGAAGTAAATTATGAGTAAAACACAAAGAGATTATCAGCTGAAGACAACAGGAAAGAACTCGGTTTTTCATAAGCTTGCTCAATGTTTTGAGAAAAAGCTAGGGTCTCGAGTGAGTTTTTATGTCTATGATTTTTTTTTTCTTTTCTAACTTACATTTAAGTGAAAAAAAGAAAAGAAAAAAAACAGCAATAAGCTTTGTTGGTAGGTCTACACCATTTTCATACATTCTAAGGGAGAAGGTAGGAAACAAAGTTTCTGCAACTGTAAGTGATGCTTAGAGGAAAATTAAATCACTGAGTGATGCCAGGGCTGATTATTCTCCTGAACTTTAAAAGCAAGGGATTGCAGTCTGTGAGTCCAAAGTGGTTTCATATGAACTGCCACAGTTGTGGTTTATGCTTGAAACTATAACCTGTCAAATTAGAAGCAGGCAAGCACTATGCTCTTAACGGTTCCACTTTCTACTGTCTACAGTTATGTCTACAAGTTCAGCATTTTTGTTTATTTAAACTCTGTTATTTGGATGAGCAGAATCTCAAAAGTACTCTTTGTTATTTTGGTTAGGATATAAAGCTTAGAGGAACTGCCAATCTAATTTTTATTGTATAGATGAAGCTGACTTTCATTGTAACTATTTTTATCAACTATCGGTATTTTATTATCCTGGTTACCACGATGTAATATATAATATAACTATAGGGAAGAGAAATAGAAACCGCATGAGTCCCCAAGCCTTTTCTGCCCTGCATTTCCAAATGCTTTATTCACTTGAACTTGTACCTTCCTGACTCATCACTTTTCCAGGGCTACAGTAGCCTGCTATTATGAGCTTAGTGTTACAACATGCTCCATTTCTTCTCTTCTCCATGATTGTGGAATGCCCTTCCGGGCAATAGGCTTGGTTGCCAGAGATTTTCCCAACAAAACTGAAAAGCTGCTTGTTTAATTTTCCTAATATTTTATGTAGAGCCCTTCCTTAATAAATTTTCTTAATGCCCATTTGTATAATATAAAAATGTTTTAAAAATAAAATGTAAACAATATTTGCTCTCTGTATAATGTATCATAAGTGAAACCATGCCACTAAACAATCATATCCTGTTAAGGCCATAATGACATCAGAAATATATGTTTATCATCTACTTTGGACAACTTTGTATGTTTTTGGCCCAAGGCGAAGTGGAACTAAAACCATTTGCCGTTGCCCCAAACCAAGATAACCACACATTTCTAAGGTAATTGATACCTAAGAAGAACATTGCCTTTAGATCACAGTTCATGATCCAAGCATACTAATTCTTTAAAGAAGGTTGTTAAGGTTTATAAAGCATGTATGTCTATTGGACTTCCTCCAAAATTTAACACTGAAATAATTATATTTTTAGCATGCATAGAGACTATGATAAAGTAGGCACTTAGCATGATCTTTCAGAGTTCTGGCATTACCTCTCTCGCCTAATTTAAGAGGAAAAATGGAGATTTCTTATTTTACATGTAAAAGTGTTATAATAAGAACAATAAGAGTAATGCCTGTATTTTGGAAGGCACTCAAGTGAAATCAATCATTACTTTTATTTTTCCAGAAGTATTTAAGGAAACAATTTTATAAACAGCTAGCTAAGGTAAATAGAAGGCATACAATTTTCATACTCATTGTTAAAACATACCAGGGAATCCAAACACATATCCCTAACTTTGTTTTACAGTGACGTAAAGCACGTAATTGCCCTGGATACTAACGTAGCTAGTGAGTCGAACCGCAGCCTGCCACTATGGCCTGAAAAATAGCTCTTCACACTGTATGTCAACACAAAAGCAGTAAGAATCACCTTGGCCCACAAAGATAACTGGATGATTTGGAATAAAAACTAAGTAAATACTTAACTACAAGCTAGTTTTTATGGTGTAAAATATTATCAGTAAAAGTAAGATCCCGAAGGAAGCTTAGGGAAATCTACTCCTAGTCAAAGGAGGAAACAAAGAAACAGAAAACTGAAGGTGTTCCCCAAGGTAAACTATGAAGGCAGAGCTGACACCCTTTCCAGGGCTCCTCCACTGCACAATGCTTCAGACATGAAACCACTGATCTGGACATTTCAGACAATGTTTAGAGAACATAAGAAAAGAATCAAATGGTACAGGGATTGCAATGGTTATTCTATTACTGCCTAAAGGGAAAAATGTACTGTACCTCCATTCTTTCTTGTTTGACTTCATCAATTTCATCATCTTCAAACATTGCCAAGAGTTCTCCTGTTTGGTCAATAGAGTTGAGAAAGTCTTGAGCGATTTTTTGTCTTTTGTTCGCATTATTGCTGCCACTCAATTTGTCTTCATAAAGATAAGGGAAGGAAGAAAGAAATCGTCTTAAATAGATTTACATCAGCCCCGATCATTATATGCAGTGCATACTGCATATAAATTCAGAATTGTAATTCTATCAAAACAATCTTCAAAGGGAGAATCCTTGTTTAAGTCATGCAGAATTAAATCATCTATCTATGTCATGAATAAGACTGAGAGAATAAAAGCAGATGATCAATTACCCCAATAAGTGTGAATGGATTGATTAAAACTCCTTATAAAAAAGAGGAAGGGCTCTCAGATTTGAAAAAAGAATCCCGCTATCACAAGCCTAATTAAGAAAATAAATAAAAACAAAGGAATAAATAAAAAACATCAGGATTGAGAGATGAAATTAAAAGAAGAAAATACGTATGCTATTGTGCCAATACATCTGAAACCTATGGGATGAGATCCTACTCTTTTTCTCATAAAAGATAAAACTATCATACTTATTTAAAAGCAAAACATAACTCTGAGAAAGTTACTCCAAAAGGTCAGGAAGGAACGTAGTATTACAATAGGTAATTAATACAGTTTAATACATGAAAGTATCACTGTGAATGAGTAAGAAAGAACTAGACTACTTTTAATGTGATAAATTACATGCTCATAGACCAAATGAAGATAACCCAAACCTTCTTAGGGTGAAAGCACCCAATCTTTCACCATTAAGAATGACAACAGGTGTGGCATTTCCAAAGACGGCTGTCTTGGTCAGTCTGGGCTGCTGTAATATACCACAGACAGCTAAAAGACCAGATATTTATTTCTCATAGTTCTGGAGGCTGTCAAGTCCAAGATCAGGTTCTGGGGTCCTGGTGTGTGATGAGGGCCTGCCTTCTGGTTTGCAGGCGGCTATCTCCTCATATCTGCACGCGGTGGAGAGCAGAGGGCAAAAGCAAGCTCTGTGTCCCTTCTCACAAGGACACTAATCTCATGCACGAAACCTCCGCCCTCATGATCTCATTGCTTTCCAAGGACTCAGAATACCATCACACTGGGGATTAGGTTTCAGTATGTGAATGTTAGGGAGATACAAACATTTGGTTCATAGCGATGACCTTTATCAGGTTGAGAAGGTTCCCTTCTCTTGCTAGCGTGCTGAAGAATGTATCAGGCACGTACATACATTGGCTGAACTCTCACAGGAACACCACACGATAAGCAGCCCAATTTCTGACTTACAAATGAGAAAAATGACCCTCAAGGACACGTAGAAAGCACAGAACTGGGATTAACTGGACTTTAGTTCTGTTTTACTCCATGATGCTTTATGATCTCCACAAAAGCAGGCATTTAAATTCATTTGTAGAACTATTTTCCAACAGTTAAATTCAATGAGAACTGCAGGAATGTTAAACAGACAATACTGATTAAACATCTGATCAGAATTTTTTCTTTCATGGCATGGCTACTACACTTGCTGATTTATTGGGGGCCAATGAAAGTAACTGGTTCTCTTTCAAAGTCAGCGAACTCTTCAGTTGGTTTTGAGTAGCTTTCTGGAATCCTTAATACAGTAGAGTTTGTTTAGCTACTTTATCCGTGTATCTTCTAGCAAAGGGGTAACATTATGAGTACCAATATAAAACATGAATTATTTCTAAAAACAGAAAACATTTATTTTGATTAATAAGTATTATTTATTAATTAATAAATTCAGCTTGGCACTATTTGATTTTGCAACATTAATATTTTTTCTAAATATCATAAAATGGAGAACTGAGTCGGAAAATCAGCTAAGGAAAATTTTCTTCTCTGTTAGGCTTTTTGTTAGATTTCAAACAGCATGGAAATAATACACTAAAATGAAGTGACTTAACATCATAAAATAAATGATACTTTCTATAATAAATGAACAAAAAGAAGTATGTCAATTTCAAAGATAATTTTATAATAGTCCTGGCTCCCTACATTCACAACAGAAAACTATGCTTGCTAAAATCGATTATGTTTTTAAATCACCACAATTTTCCTAACTTCATGACATTCTGATGTAAATAAAGCAGGTCATTGTATTAAAAGAAAGTACTGAAATACCAGATTACACTGAAGTCACACAAATAGAAAAATCATGAGATTTAACTACTAATGAAACAAATATTTGGATAATTTCTAAACTACATCATGTAGTGGAAATACATATATTCTACTCTGCCGGGAAAAGCTACACTGACGTTGTACAAACGTGGTGCGGGCATACACGTGTCTAATGACTAGCTTAGTGCTCTGCTTCAGTTACCTTCCAGAAGATCATCCTCATCGATGCCTTTGACAATCTTCGATTTGTAGTCTCGGAAAAACATGTATTTTAGCAGTCTTCTGAGTTTTTTCTATTAAAAAGATGAGATAAGTAAATAAAAAAACCTTACACATATATTTACTTTACTGATGAAAGACTATTATAACTAAATTGAATAAACTTGTACCCCAGGACTCTGGGGAAATAGAGCAATTTCTCAGTATAATACTATGAGTTCAAAATTTAGTCATCAAAGTCAACATAAAAGCTAAAACACAAGCAGCATTAAAAGCACTTTTCATTTGCAAGTATCCAGATGCTCCAGAATCACAACTGTCTTTGCTTTCTGGGATTTGTTGTTGTTGTTGTTGTTGTTGTTAAATTCTTTCTGAAGATTGTAATATCACACTCTCCACACTAAACTGACAATACTGACTTTACGGAATTTTGCACATTCAATACCAAATTTTATTTTTTGAAATGATTTATAAACATCTAGACAAGGGGTATGTAACAACTGTTTTAAAGCGCCCAGCACTCTGTGTTTTCTTGTTTTTTTTTTTAATTCTCTGAGAATCTTTTATTTAGAAGAGTTGGGTTATGTTTTATATTTCTGGAAAACATTCTATAATTTGAGAAACATATGTTTCTGAAACTCAAAGCTGATGAGTGATAGGTGAGTCTTAATGATGGCTTTCTCTGGGTTTATCAGAAGACTAAAATACTGCTTAACTTTAAAAGTAATCGATAGTACTTTGTAATCTGTTGTACACTTACACGTAGAATGGATTATTAATGGTTCCTGACCTCCAGGTTTGAGTCAGTGACAGCTGAAACATACTGCTATTTACAAAGCTCTTTTACATGCCTCTATCTGGTATTTTCAACAGCCCTGATACAAATAAAACAAATATAATCACCTCCTTTTTATATATAGGGAAACCGAGGTTATAGACAGACTTACAACTAGAGCTTAGCAGGGCCAGAAGTAGAACATATCCTTTGAACCTGTTTCCTTATTGACCAAGTAAGTGAAGTGCCCACTTTAGAGGACTGTTGTGAGGAACAAACCTGAGAACGAGTGAGTCTGCCTGGGGAATATGTAAAATGGAGCAGGCAGGCGGTGACGGCTGCCCAAATACCAACTGGAATTATTAAGAGAAAAAACACACACCTGTAGACTGGTCTTTGCTACCCTTCTGTCTTCTTTGCTCTGATTCCACCCAGTACTTCAGATTTTATTCTGTCTTATATTCCATCTGAGTAAATTACTTTAAATTCTCTTTGGAACATGTCATCATATAAATGAAATTATTTTGAGGAGAAAGATGAGAATACTGGCAACTGTCATATTACAGCTATGTTCTTGGTTGCTAAAAAGATTGTGATTAAGAGTCCTCCTGGATAATAGAAGGATTTTGACAATTAGTGTACGTTCCTGAAGTTTCAATATGATTGTAAATTGTGATTTCCCCAAAAGGCAGGAAAAAAGTGTCAATATGGACTAATTTTTGTGCTGGCCTGTTTACCTCGCTAATGCCACTGCCCTCCAGCTGCCTTCATAAAGAGGCTTGGCTCAAGGTCCCCACTTGTGTCAACAGCACCTTCAGGCTCCTTCCTCACGGCACCACTGCTGTACAGCACCTGCTCCTCCTTCATCTTCCAAGTACAGTGAAGTCAGCAAACCCTGCATATTCTCTCTTCACTCTCTCTCTGAATACGCCCCTCCTATCCACTTCCGGAGCCATCATACCAATCACAGTTTGCCTTGATTACAGAACCTGCATGCTAGTTAGTTCCATCCTACACAGAATTGCATGAGTCTCATCCTAGGCAGAAACCGCCACTTCAACAAATGCTACAGCCTCTCCATCTAAGCACACAACCTTAAAATGCTGCGAGTCTCAAAATGGTTCTTCAACTAAATTGTACAGATTTCCTAAACCAGATGATAGCTTCTTGATAGTGAAGCCATTCTCTTTAT